CATACAAATGGTGATTCCTCATTTCAAGATTTTCATTTGGACATGCATCACCAATATCACAAGATTTTTCAATTCTTTACAATTGGTTGACGTGAATAATGAGTTTTTATGGCTTATGTTAACGCTAATGAAGTCTATTGCAATTAAATGCTAAGTAAAAGTTGAGGACTCTCAAAGGGTAAAACGTCTTTATCTTTAGAATTACATAGAATCTTGAATTTAAAACACCATTAAGCAATTCTATGTCAATAACATAAATTATCTTAGTTTCAATGTGTTTTACTTCTTAATCGCTCATATCCCTAGTGTTGTAATAACATACTAATATATAAATGTATGCTAACCATACCTGTCTCCTGCAGTTTGAGATTTTGTCTCATCCTCGTATCCGTATCATGTCATACCAATATCCCATATCCGTATCTTTGCTTCCTAGATGTCGTTATTTTGGTTATTGTTACAGTGGTTGACCATAATAAGATGATTATAAAAACAATATAATATAGAGAAGATCATAAGAAACTTAAAATATAGTAATGATACAATAAAAACTATGATAATAGTGAAAACTAGAAAATTTGTACAGAGGTAAGGAAAAGAAAGAGAAGAAGAATAAAGGAAGAAAGTGAGAATGAAACAATATTTTGGTAGGGTTGTTTTTTCCAAACCCTATCACCTACTTATATTAGGTTGATATTGAAGACAATCACAATATTAGTAAAGTAAAACATAATAGGAAAACCACATAATCGGAAAGTAGAGCAATAAGCAAGTAACACCATAGGAAAACAACATATTAGGAGAGTAGAACAATAAGAGACCAGCACTCTAACACTTTCCCTCAAACTGGAGCATAGAGATCAAAAATGCCCAGCTTGGAAAAAGGGCTACTAAAGGTGGATCATGCCATAGTTTGGTGTGGAAATCACTGAGTTGACCACAATATCTCCACGTAGACAATAAAGATGATAAAACCAAGTCCTGGGTGACTACGTTAGACCATTTAGCAATTTTTTTAATCAACACACACTACCATAATACTCCCCATTAAACCAAGTTCTAGGTGACTGTTGTAAACCATTTAACGGCTTCTTTAATCTACACACTCTACCACAATGCTCCTTTAATCTACACACTCTACCACAATGCTCCCCCGAGCAACAAATCCAAGTGGTTGCTCTATGTGATGTTTAAGACATCCCTTAGGTTTTTTATAGAAGCAATTAACCCCACACCAAAATAAAAAATTGTAAACAACAATCACGACAACATATAGAAAAAGAACACAAGAACAATAACGGACAAACACAACACCACCACCAAAGGCACAAACAAATATAACCAACAATACCGGCACAAATGAACCACATGCAACAACAAATTAAACCGCAACAATTGAAAACAGGGTAAACCATGCAGAGCCTCAACCAAAAAAAGGCTAAACCAATGCTACAAACCACAAACCAATACTAAATCTAGATGAAAACTCTGAAATTGGCAATAAACCATGCTGAAAATACTGAATCGAGATGAAAACCACGACCAACACATAATTGTGCCGAAAACCACTGAACGAATACTAAACCTAGTTGAAAACACTAAACCGGGATAAAAACCACTAACAAACATCAATTAGGCGAAAAACCACTGAACTTGAACTAACGTGAACTGAAAACACTACAATCCGCTTCAATGATCAGACATCAGAGACATTAACATGGATTCAGGCACCTCACAAAAACTGATACTGATCACAACGGCTGATAAGCAAATGATGAAGGTACCAACGACAGGAAAATTGCAACTTAGAGTGATTCCAGCAACGGCAATAACTAGTAAATATGCAGAAGACTACAACTTGTTGCACCTACCCAAACACTAGACAAGTGAGGTGCTCGCTCAGGGCCGAGAGCCCCACTCACAAAAGTATCTTCCTCTGATACCAAGTTGAAACTTGAATAAAGGGTTAAGAAAAAAAAAACCTAAGAATAACAGAGGGAGAAAGAGAAAATGAAATAGTATTGTGTGTGGGACGTGTGTTGGCAAACCCTATCACCTATTTATTCAAGTTGATATTGAAGATAATTATAATATTAGGAAAGTATAGTAGAATAATAGGAATGTAACATAATAGAAAAGCAACATAATAGGAAACTAATCCTTTAACAATAATAATGACAAATACAAATCAAAAGTGTTGAGAGTATTATTATTATATTTTATATAGTTTTAATAAGTATATATCTCTAAGGATATGCTAGTCTTTTGTGTTTTATTAGATAACTATATATACCAATTGATAGTGAGAGGTAGAGTAAGTTCTTTGACTACTCTCTACCTCTCTCTTATATTGTTTCTCTCCATTCTCTAAACCTAACAAAATGCAACAACAATGGTGGACTAATATATCCCAGCTTCATTATATATAAGGTAAAAACCAATTTATTTGCTCTGATGTTTTCTGCATGCAATAGATGATTTTTAATCTTAAGCTTAAAGTCTCCCAAAAGTTTACAACCCAAATTCTTCCGCTAAAATCAAACCATTCCAAGTGTATCATCCCATGGGTCCTGAACTGTGTCCTGACCATCTAACTAGGCATTGCCCTATGTAATTAAAGGTGTGAACATAAATGTGTACATGTAATAATAAATTTATGCGTACAGCCTTGATATTAATTAGAGTCCTCCCCCCTCCAATTTATGCATTCATGAAATCATACCATGGGTAGAATTATAGCACTTGCTTGCTCTGAAAATTGAAGTACAAAATGACAGTAGAACTGATTTATTTAAACCAGCTTTCAGAATGCTCCACCCAAATGGTGGGAAGGGAGTGCGCTGCACAATTGCTGAAAATGAAACGAGCATGTCAACCCCGTGATTATGAATGGAACAAAAGCAGGCAAGCCCAGCAATCTTCAAAAAGTCCCCGAGGCTAGCATGATCAAGAAGACCTACAATAATTCAAAAGGTGTAGGAGTCCAGTGCAGTTAAAATGCTAAACCCATTTCCTAATAATCTGTGGCAATTATGCTAGCATCCATTTGTATCGGAAATTTGGGCTTCAGAGGATTACCTAACTGTGAGAGAATTTCCATAGCCAACCAACTTTTCTCTTCCAAGGCTTTTGATATTAAACTCAGCTGAAGGATGTACAGTAGGGCAAAGTGTGCCTCACAAAAAAGAATCAGGCATTGACGTATCCTCCTACTGATGGTGTGGCTCAACAGGTAAATCATAAAGAATATGACTGAAGTATGAAGCACAAATTTGCAGCAGTAAGTACAATTTAATCATTATATCTGTACTTTGAATCACAAATAAAGAAAATGGTGAAGTTTGATTTCAGGAAAACATAGATAAACGAAGGCAGGGATCTTACAGACTTTTGATCCATTATATATATAAGCACATATTGTAGCCTTTAGTAGAGACAAACCAACTTACTGTATATAGCATGGAAAAAACCAGGTTTCAGTGCAATGGAAAGTATAAGCGCCAGCACTATCATACGAGAGCTTTTGCGAAGTCCCCATGCTATCATAGCTACAATCAATACTTCTGCTTCCTCTTTCTCTAGAATTTAAAAGCATGGTTAATTTTGTGCCACCAATATTGCAAGAATCATAAATAAAAGCTGAGGAATAAACCATCTAAGTATGTGTCAACCCTAAAATTAGATCAGCAAGAACAAGATAACATATATGAAAACATGATTTCATTGTTTAACAATCCAACTAGAGTTCACACTGAATAAATGGATACTAAATTATCAGGTTGTCGATATTACAAAAAGTAAAATAGTTTGACTGCAACTGGTTTGAATATTTCATGACTAATCTAACAGCTTAATTCTATTTATAAGTTTTTATGGGCAAACCACCCCTACCCAAAAATAAACCTTATCTTTGACATTATGACTATAAAATCTCCATGTTTAAAAACTGGAAGGGTCGCCATGATCTACATTTGCACATAGGCTTACATGCTAAACCTATCAAAACTAGCCACCATAATCCAATACCTACATCAACCAGAATTTAATGACATAATGGATCCAGGAAGAATGGATTTCTTGATTTCATATAACTAATCCCTAATTGTTTGAATGTTAGAATTCGAACATACCAGAGCATGAAAGGAGACAATGTATAAAGCCCATAAAGAAACTAAATCCAAAGAATTTGTTCCCTCACAAGGTTCTCAATAGTATGGAAAGAATACCTAAATGACAATTTTATAGATTTACATTTCAGAGATTTCATGATCTGCATTTCAGAAATTTGGTTTGCATGTCATGATCTGTTTTCCAGAGAACCTCATCATACCACAGTGGATCAATTTGAACAAGACCAAAAAAAAAAAAAGAAAGAGGGCTCCGCCTCTCCATATGATATTGAAAGGTAACTCTCATTTATGAGAGAGTATTCTTTTTCCTTTTTTTTTTCTTTTTTTGAACAGGTAAGAACAATAATCTTTGAAGTTCTGTATGTTACACATTTTTCAAGAAATGCTAATATAATAATATTTTTGCATAAACAAAATTGCATCAAGGCTTAAGCATGAATGCTCATCAATCAATATTACCACGAGGCCACTTATAAAAATGAATTTCATAGAAATAATTTGCACTGAGATAAAAAAAAATTACGATATGAAATTTCCTAAAATAAAATGCAGTCTTCCAATGTAGTGTCCCTAAATGCAATATAAAATGTGTCTAAAAAATCAATAGGCATCTGTGGTCATCACATTAACAAGCACTCTCAAAAGATATCCACAGCGTACATGCAATGAACAATCAAGAAAATACCATGTGATGATCTTAGAAGAAGAACATACATTATTACCAAATTTCTTCCAAAGAATGATGCATAGGCAAAACGCACACACAAACATGGATAATACAGGAAAGTAGCAGGCGGCAAAGACAGTGAAAACCTAAAGTCATTTGAGACTGTGAGGGTTAAAGAATTAGGGTTAGGAGAAGAGAGAGAGCTTGAGAGAAAGAGAGAAACAGAGGGAACAGTATCTGAAACGGATGCTGAGAATGTTTGAGTCATGTTATTGGAGTCTCACTTAGGTACAGGTGTCTGGAGTGGATATGCACCTAAATTTCAGACTCGTCTCACCTCCAAACTCAAAGACATGGAGAGATAGCAAACATGCATCATTTTTATTTTATTTTCATCTTTTGCTTACAGCAAAATGGTTTTTTTGGCTACAAAGAGAGTTCAAAATGGCACGTTGTAGGCTTATAAAGTGGTAAATATATGCCTTTAGTGATTTGATCAAAAAATCTGGCTCAGCGGGTTGTTATCATTCTGAAGTTTCAAGCCTAAATTGGCCTAGCTGAACCTAAGTGAGGGATTTTGCGTCTTCTGAATATTTTGTCACAGAAGTAACATTGTTTACATGTTTAGGAATTTTGTAGTTCTTTAGAGGGTTTCGCTACAAAGCATTGTAATGGCTTCCTTTTGAAGCTTTGGAGTTAGGATAGATAGAGAGCTATAGCTCCTAAACCAGCTAGGTGTTTCCAAGACTTCAAGGCAAGGGCTGTGAGGATTCGGCACCGCGACACCTACCAATAGGCTGGCAAATGTCGCTCTTCTCTGTTTTCAGTTATGGATTGTTCCAAAAGAATCCAAAAAGGTTTCAGAATCAGGTATTTTTCCAAGAGCCGAGAAAAGTTGATCCTTGCAATTTTATCTGAGTTGCTGTTGTTACCCAGTGGAACAAAAAATCTTCCTGCAGTACTAAAACTATTAAGTAATATTATTTGGACCTCTATCGATTGTAGATGTTTCATGTTGTGTTGTTGCTCTAGTTTGCTGGATTGATATTTCAACCATTTTATTTTCTGCCTCTGTTTGCATCAATAGGCCTTAGTTTCTCATCATTCGCATCTTATCGACATGAGACCCTTTTTATTTTCACCAAATAATATGACAAACTTGAATATTTGGATACGCTTACTTAGCGCATATCTGACACACTTCCCATTCCCATGCTCAGGGGCGGCAAGTGTCCATCACGGCTCCAATATACTCTTGGCCATGCTCATCTCCAAGAGAAGATATAATGAATTTTATTCCCTATTTCCCTTATTCATTAAAAGACAGCTAATGTCCCTGTCTGACCTACATCATTAAGTTTTATAAAGCAGTCTAGTTATACCTATGCCATGGCACTGTTAAGCAATTGGGTTTGGGTCAAGTAAAACCTTCACGATCCCAGACATCCCAGTGATTCTTTTTCTAAATGACCTTGAGCGTCTTCTAAAAGCCGCTTTCATGTGTGAAAGTAAAAGATATAATAATTTCTAATTACAAACTTACTAACCCACCCTAGTTGTAACATTGTGGAACTAGCATCACTGAGCTTTCATAATGCCTGTAGAGGACTTCTAACATGTTGATTGAAACAAAGGGTTACTGTGAATTTAATCATCATATAGGGCCGCAATGAATTCAATAGTAAATCTTTCTTTTAAGTGTTAGCATTTGAGCAATGTTTTTATGCGCTTCAAAAAAACAGTGTATCATTTTAATCATCATTAATCACCACCCATGCATCACCTTCCACGGGTGTGGATTTAATGCTTTATGGCTCAACAGAAAGCAGAAAAAAAAAATAAGTACACGAAAGGTAAGGTAGCACATAACAGTACACAAGGTAAATGGGCTGTCGTATTCTTACCATCCATGGTACAATTCTCATCTGTCTCTGCATACCCATCTGACAAGTATGAGATAACTGTACTGTTCACGAGATTACCCATAGCGACTAGAATTCCAAGGCCAAATTGTGCAAGTAAAAAGAATCCTGGTACAGGGTAATGCCACAATCCAATAGTTTCCCAAATAGCCATATCCTGCAAGAGAGTTATTATTCTTCATCCATATAGACGCATATTTAGCAGGAGCACCAGCACCTATTTAAACAGATATTACCTTCAGTAGTTTCTTATTGAGCACTGTGAATGCCACATTGAAGACATATGTGCTTGCGGCCCACAACAGAATGAAAGCAAGAAGCAACCCATTTAACCAGTGCAAGTGAAACAAGGAAGGGAAAGCACACAGAATGTAGCCAACATAAGCAAGTAATCCAAATGCGCACAAACTTGCAAACTGGAAACTCCAGAATGAAAGAGCAAACAAGGAGATCTGTCACATTAATCACTGAAGGCTCTAAGTAAAGAAAAGGAATCTCATCTGTGCTGACACAATTTAGAAGTCTTTGGAAGACTAGAAAAACCAGAAGTAAAAAAAAAAAAAACTATGTTCTAATTGAATGCCTACCGGAAAACCATAAGTGAAAAAGTTGATACTAAACATCCTGAAAACGGCTCCCCTCATTAAAACGTTGGTGTGCCTTACACCAGATCTGAAAAGCATAAAAATGTATTAGTGAAAAAGGAAATCATTCGCCTGCATGAAAAAAATCATGTAGCCACCTAAGCTGCTTATAATCATAAGAGTGTTCATAACTGAGGAAGGATTTCACTAGAGATTGAGGAAATAATCTGAAGGACATATCAATGCTTAAACAAAGATTTTGGAAAGAAAAATAAAAGGAAATCATGTGCATGAGATTCAAAAGTTCAGTTTTGTAAAGAAACAGAATTACACGTTAACTATTACTTAGGACTAGGAAGAGATTCGAGAAAGAAAATGGCATAATGGGATCAATAGAACAGAATCAGATCATATGCATTACCTCGATTCATGAATAAAAAAAGAATGCGTAGAGGGAAGAAGCTGCTCGGTCAAGCTACTTTCTCTTGTGGAGACAAGTATATCCATTTCCATAAGATCACATCTAATGCAGGAAAGCTGAAAAGTTGGGGAAACATTCCAGTTCAGTCTGCAAGGAGATACTGAAGTAAGAAACACTAAATCAAGAACTATATTTTGCCAAGTGCAGCAAATAGAAGGCAAGACTAAGTACCACTTGAGAGTGGAAAACTGTGTTTTTGTGGTACATCAAATGAAATATAAACGCCTCTTGGGACATAAATTGTAACTTCAGACATCTAAACTTCCACCTCCTTGGGGTTTAAATGATCAGCAAATTAGTTTAAATGGAAAGGGATTAAAAGAATCTTGTAGCATGTTCATGTACCAGAACAAGTATAATATAAAGAGAAAAGACTAGAAGAACCTGTCATGTGATCTGTGGTTCTAGAATCTCTTATCCAAGGAGTACATGAGAATGACGCAGTAAACAAACTAGCAGATATATCTATATAAGCAAAGTTGGAAGAAGTAGGATTACGAGCTCTGGTAAAGGAAATATCAAGTCGAGTCATCAAACGCCAGAGTCTACATCTCATCTTAAGTGAAATTACTAGAGGTTACACTCCCTTACGACATATCCTCACAATAGGGTCAAACAATCACAGTGGCAGGTCACAAAAGCAGCAAAATAGCCAAGACTTCCAATATGCCTCAGCCTGAAGAAAGGCCTCAACAGTGGCTAAACAAATTTCTGGACAGTCGGATTCCTCAACACAAAATCCTGGAACAAGAACCAAAATCGCACCTCTCTGAAGTGATTCGAATCAAAAATAGTCTCAGATTGGCTCAAAAATTGCTGGTCGCAAGTCGAAGTCTAAAAAAATCAAACGACCAAGCAAACGGCCTCCAAAAAATCCACAAAAATCACCATATATCTCAGGAGATGATTTCGAATCAACCATGAGAATTCCAAAAAATTTTGACAACTTGGGTGCTGACATCAACATGTTAGACTTGACTGAAGTTTTTGGTTCATTAGCATATCCCCTGCTGAATGCTAATGAATTTTTCTGATGAATCTGACAACTTGAACCCCTAGATTTTGACCGCAGCTCTAATACCATGTTCAATTATGAAATAATTAGAGTTTAAGAGAAGAGAAGAGAAGAGACAAGATTATGGTAATAGAGTAGTGTGTTAGGTTACACAGCTACACCCAACTTTTATAATCACAAAGTACAAAACTACCCTTCGTCTAGAAATAACACATAACATAATACAAAACAAAAAATCCTACACCCCTCTTAGTAGTTAACTGTCGTTATTAAAAAAAAATATATCTTGTCATGTCCTAGTCGTGTTTTACCCGTGTTCACTAAAAAAAAAATAAGTTTTTTTTATTTAAGATACTTCTAGCCATGTCGGACACGTCTCCGTCGGCAAGTATCCGTGTTTCCTAGGCAAGGGGTATAAGGCAATCTTTTATAACGTCACTTGATCCTTTTTCTCTCATAACTTACGAAATTCATTCGATATATCTCATAGATGGTTACAGGTACTATAATGGCACATGGAAACAAAGACTACAACTTAACTAAGTCTTGTCCCAACCAAAGAAGAACAAATAAAAAAATTTACATGAGCTGAAATCATTTCCATTGTTGAGAGCAAAAAAGACAATATTCTCACTTCAACCTAGTCAATTTTTCAAGATAACAACTGGACAAAGATCAAACACTGAGTGAAGCTGTGCATACCATGAAGTAGAAAAGTAAAAGTGAAAGACCAGCACAAATCTCCGACCATTCTGATTTTGTAGAGATTTTGTAGAGCCCAATGAAATCAGCAACCCATTGAAACACAGTAGAGAACTCAAATGGAAGCTGATATACGTAAAGGAGAACAATGTTCAAGCCTGAATAAAACAAAAGACATCTCCACGACCTTCCAAACCATCCAAATATTGCTTATTAGTGAATGCAGTTACAACAAATGCAACCTAAAATAACCAGCTAAAACCATCCAATAAAGGAAGTACAGTACAGTTACCGGAAGAGGCCTAGAAAGTTGCTTGTTAAGGACCAATCAACAAGTCCAATGCAGCTACAAATAAAAAATGGTAGAGAAACCCACGAGGGAAGGCTAATTCCCACAACTAGCTGTAAAGAAGGCAATAATAAGCAACACACCACCCTGAGATGGGAACCTGCCTCGCAGCAAGAAAAAATTAATTGAGAATCACTATGCAATGCATAAAATTTCTGCAAAAATATTGTGTAGGACATAGCCGGCCAATAAAATTAACTGAAGTTAAGAGTTTGATGAAAAGGAAAGCAGCAGATCATTTGTACGTCCAATGAACCAAGGCCATCAGTTCTCCCATTAAGGAACAGACGTTTTGGTCAAATCAAAAATTCAAAATTGTTCACTAAGAAAATTCTAGTGGCCAATACACAACTCTACACAATAGGGGGCATAGGAAGCAAATAACATTTTAAAGCTTTAATGGGAAGAAATTATGCATACAAAAACATCATACAAAAACAGTTGCAGAACATAGAATTATACACCAAAAGTGTGATACGAAATTAAACAAATATCAATTGTATGTGGAAATGATAGCTTATTTTTGTGTTGCTAACAAACCTATCTTTCTGAAAGACGAAAAGAAGTGCTGCAAAAAAGAGTCTCTCGAGGGATCCAGCAAAGAGCTACTTCCATATATATCTATAAGAGCAACCAAAGCTGCTAATAGTTGTATGAACAGGAAATAAACCACAGATGGAGGATTCCAGGACTGATCTCTGCAAAACCATCCATTGTAGCACGTGCAGAACAATTTAATAGCAAATAACAAAATTGAATGTCATTCACTGAAAGTCCAAGATACAACACAAGAGGGGGTAAAATGAAGGATGAAGGTGGGATTCAGTATTGACCTGACAAGACCAACCAGCTTTGCCCATTGAGCATCTCCTAAACTCCATAGATCCCCCTTCATAGCCAAAATGATTTGAAATATGACATGCGCAAGAATGACTACAAAGGAAAAAATGACAACATAGCATGAAACCAGGGACTGCGTCCACCAACGAATACCTAAATGCCAAAATGTTGGAAAGTAGAGTCAATCAAACACAAAGTTAAAAAGATAAATGAATGGAAGCGGAGCATAACAGAACTAGAGTTTTTCTTCAACAAGACAAGTTACGAACTTATATTTTGTCCTGAAACTTGTTCATTTATGAAAAATAGCTACAGAAAGTTACAATCATGTTTCTAGAAGATTTCTCAAGACTTCAGATCGCAATGAATTAAGGAAGTAACTGCTACAAACTAAAAATTTGAGGAAGTTTAAGTCCACACACATAAACTGATACTCACACACACACACGAAGGTGAAAGAATATTAAGCAACATAATAGGAAAGTAAATCTACAACAATAGGAAAGCAACATAATAAGAAAGCAACTCAAATCCTCAACATTCCCCCTCAAGCCGGAGCATAAAGATCAAAAATGTTTAGCCTGAAACAAAGGTTCCTAAAGGTGGACCGTGTCAATGGTTTGGTAACAAAATTACAGAGTTGATCACCAAAATTCACACAAGGAGTGGTGATCTCCTTTCACATTTTGCATTAAGAGATCCCGAATAAAATGACAATCAACTTTGATGTCTTTGGTACGCTTATGAAATATTGGATTACTGACAATAAAAATAGTTGTTTGGTTATGACAATGCATCTGCATAGGATACAACACATCAACACCCATCTCACAAAGTAGAAAGCGAAACCAATAACATCTAACATATAATATGACTCATGGCTTGATATTTGGCCTCTGCATTAGAACGTGCCACCACATTTTGTTTCTTACTAACAAGATAAACCAAGAAATATAAACTAACCAGAAGTAGACCGTCTATCCGACTGCCCACCCAGTCAACATCAAAAAATTCTATAACAGTTAAATGGGGACAACGACTGAAATAACAATCCTCTACTTGGTGCTCCACAAACAGTTTCCCAATGAGGTTTACGAGAAGTATACACAAACTCACTAACACCAACAACATAAGTAATGACAAGACATGTAAGTATTTGATAAATTAGCTCACCAACCAACATCCAACAACAGACCGTGTCCTAAAAATATCCCCGTTTTCACTATCAGATGTAATATGGGATCCATTTGGGTGCGTACACCAAGGGTACCAGATTCAAAGAGTAAATCTAACACATACTTCCACTGACACAAATAAATACCCTCCCTTGATTGAACTATTTCAATGCCAAGAAAGCATCCGATGAGACTTAAGTCTTTGATATGGAACTATCTTTCCAAATAGGCCTTAAAATGGGCAATATCAGCTGAGTCATTACCATTGATGATAATATCATTGACATAGACAATGAGAACGATGACATCTGCAATGGTTTTGCATGTAAATATAGAATGATCTAAATTAGAGTTGTGAAAGCCCTACTAAAGTATAACCACACTAAATTTATCAAACCAAGCCCAAAGTGAATGATTTAGGCCATACAATGCCTTCTTCAACTGACATACTAAATATTCTTGTCTCTAGAGACAACATATCCTAATAGCTGAACCATATACACTTCCTCTTGGAGATCTTCATGTAAAAAAGTATTTTTTTACATCCAGGTGATACAAAGGTCAATCTAAACTCAGTGGTACAGAGTGTAAAACTCGAACAAAGTTAAGACGAGCACTAAGGAGGTCTCACAATAATTCACACTATATGTCTAAGTGTAACACTTAGCAACCAACCACAACTTTAAATGCTCAATAGAACAATCGGGAAGATACTTCACAATATACACTCATCAACAACTAACAAGCTGCTTATTAGGAGCTAATAGAGCAAGGTCCCATGTCTGATTCTCATGATGAGCTTTTATTTCTTCATCCATTGCCAATTTTCATCCAAGAGATGATAAAGCTTGTTTGATAAAGTTAGGAATAAACACAGAAGTAGAGAATTGAAAACGAAGCACCATTGTACTAAATTTATCAAATCAAGCACGTGGTGACTGTTTCAAGCCATATAGTGATTTTTTAACCAGCACACAAATTGTTCCTTAACTGGAAGTCTGGAACAACATAACTTGGAGGTTGACTCATATATACCTCCTTTTATTCTCCATGTAAAAAAATATTCATTATATATAACTGATATAAGAGACAATCACATCTGACCACAATAGAAATAAGATCTCAACAGAGTGAAGCCAAACAACATGAGAGAAAATATCACAGTAATACACACCACATGTCTGGGAGTAGCCTTTAGCAACCAACCATGCCTTTAAACGATCAATTAAACCATCAGGATGTTATTCCACGGAGTATACTGAACAACAACTGACAGGATGCTTATGAGAAAGTAAGATCCCGAGTGTAATTTTCATGAAGGGCTTCAATTTCCACATCCATAGTCAGGTTTCATCCAGGAAATGTCAATGCATGTTTCAAGAAGCTAGGACAAACATTGAAGACAAGGTTGATGCAAAACATCGAAAAAATGAGGAAAGCCGATTCAAAGAGACAAAATTAGAAATGGAATGTTGGGTACAATTAGGAGTATCTTTGTACAATGTAATGGGGCAAATCAAAAGACAGTGATCCAGTAATTTGCCCCGAAGGAAGAACCTCAGGAGAATCAGGCATTGGTCAAGGTGTTAAAGCATATGGAACAACCTATTTGTTTGTGGATCGATGATAAATTAGCAATAGAGGGTCAAGAATCGAAGAGGAACACATAGTTTGGAACGACTGGCAACAAGAGCTCCCCCTGACTAGTGGAGATTAAATCTGGAGAAAGATCATGTCCTGACATAGAAAAGAAAGAAGAGGACTCAAAAAAAGTAACAACAGCACTAATATAATATCATTGATAAACAGGGTCATAGCATCGATAGCCTTTCTGAGTCCAAGAGTATCCTAGATAGACACTTAACTGAGCATGGTAAAAGTTTATCCCGATCTAGACCAAGAAAGTGAACAAATGTAATAAAATTAAAGACACGAGGGATGAGACCAAAGAAAGATGTATTAGGGTAAATCAATGAGAACATAGATTTGTTACATAAGATGGGGGAAGACGTCCGATTAATAAAATACACTATAGTAAGAACAGTATTAACCCAATAAAGCTTTGGTACATGCCCGTTAAACATAAGGGTTCGAGCAATATCCAATAAATGGTGATGCTTACATTCTCCCACACATTTTGCTGGGGATATATGGGGACATGTAGTTTGATGAATGGTACAATGATCACCACAAAATATATGCATAAATGATTGTACATGTTCAAGAGTATTGTCAGAATGGAGTACTTTAATACGCTTATCAAATTGTACCAGAATCCCATTATAAAAGGTGGTAAAAACTTTAGGCAACTCAGAACAATCCTTCATAAAAAACAACTAAGTCATATATGAGAAAAATCATCAAGAAAGACTAAAAAATAATGAAATCTATAAATATTTTTTATTCTTGCAGAACCCCAAATGTCGGAGTGAACAATATAAAAATGACTAGATTGAAGACTTGTGTTACTAACCAGAAAATAACTACAGTGATGCTTGCCTAATTGACAAGCCTCATATTCTAATACAAAAGAAGTACTCAAACTAGAAATGACTTGACGAAACTTTTGTAGAAAAATAAGACCCAATCGATTAATCGAAAATGCCACTAAATTGGAGACACGATAGCACTGCAATTGAAAATGTCACCGAACTTTCACAAAGCTTCAATCGAAAATGCCAAGACATGAACTGCTATGCTGGAATCCAAATAGTAAAAAAACATTTTGCTTATGTCCCGAACCAATCACCTTTTTCATCTGGAGGCCCTGAAAAACATAAAAAGATAGGAAAAAAGCCACTAAACACCGTAAAGACTTTGTTAACTTACTCAAAATATAACAAGTTAAAAAAGGAAATGAGGAACAAATAAACCATATGTTAAAGACATGGTTTTAGTAGGATGGAGATCATTAGTCCCCACGTACTAGTCGAAAAGAACCATCAGCTAGCACAATTCGAGAGTTAGAAGAATGAAAATTAAAAAATAAGGATCAAATACAAAACATGTGAGCACTGGCTCCTAAATCAATAATCCAAGATGATGAAGCTGATTGAGCTGCCACATGTGCAAAATTACCTAGAGTGGCCAAACTGACAGCTGGGGTAGACAAATGAAGAGAAAGTGAGAACAATTATTAGACGAGCTGACTATGTAGTGAAATATGCTCAGTATGAGATCCAGATAAGGAAGTAGTAAACCCACCCATCAATGGCTGAAATACAGATGGGTTGAGTCATTAAAAACCTAATTAGCATAGGCTGATCTCCAATGTTTATCCCAACAATAATCCTTAGTATGTCCAATAGCTCTATAATAAAAACGCTTCCACTTCAAACGACTGCCACGACCACCATGTCCTCCACAACTAGAGTCTCTACCACCATAACTACCACCCTGGGGTGGATGTCTACCACTAGGACCACCAGCATCACTAGAAATTAAGGCAGAGGACTCTTGAGGCACTAAAGAAGTACCACAAGTAAGAGAAACGCGTTGGAGGCGAGAGTAAGCATTTACCGCAATTAGAAGAGTCTCACTGGCTAGAATCTTTAAACACACTATGAGAAGGTTGGACAAAAAAGCAAAGCAACCTGAAACTCTTCACGCTGTCTCCACTGTATCTCTAGATCCTTACTCAGTGATTGATAAAGCATTAGTTCTTATCACAACCCTTTTAAGGAACCATGATGTTCAGCAAGAGATTTATTATGTTGCTTGGTATTGAACATACACTCAAAAAAACTCATACATCCAAGACACATTATGTTCACATCTCCTAAAGAAAATCTCATATCTGTTTTGCTATAAAGAAGTTGGGCATTAGAAGCTACAAATGGTTCCATACAAAGCCACAACCAAGTAATCACCAACGAATTCT